CACTGATTCAAGATAGTTTGATGAGTGAAAATAAACTTTTGATATTAACAGTATGAAATAAGAATATATTTACTGAAAAAAAATAATGAGTTAATCCATCCATTTATTTTCACTCATTCAGCGATCTTAAATCAATATAAAACTATTTTTCTTTTATAATATATAAATGAATCCTAGCAAATTTATATAAGTTTCAATCAGGGTATATTGTTATTTTTATCAATTCTAACCGTATACTTAAGTAATGTACCAATAATCATCTTCTTAAAAAGTAATCTTTGTATTAAAAATAAGGGTTAATTATTGGAATGGTCACTTTAGTTTTAGTTTTGTTCATTTTTTATCATCAATTTAAAAAAAAAAGGCTATATTTTAATAACTTATGTTATCGATTTATTAAAATTTAATCACATACGTTATCAATTGATATTTAGTGAAACATTTAATATGACGAAGATCATAACATCGAATTTTATGTCACAAAATAATAATAATGAGACGAAAATAAATTTCAATGATAACATTTTAGGTTCCACTAATAATTAAATTTATCACAATATTATTTTCGTGTAACTCGTTCTAGCTACTTAACATATTTTTGTCAAAAGAAATATTAAATCCAAGCAAATGGTTGAAAAGTTTTGGAGATTTTAAATGAATAATCGACAAGAGGATTTGTGATAGGGTTGTTGCATTGGAATTTACTTGAACTTTTATAGCTTCAATGCAATTTGCATGTTCACTGAAATACATGGCATTTCCATAATTGTGTATCTAATTGGTACTTTTCAATTACATGACATAATATTGTAACAATGGCTACTACAACAATTGTTTGTGAAAAATGAGGATTTCCTTAGAAACGTATAGCTAACTCAATCCATAGACTCATGGAAGACAACATCACGCTGCACGTTCACAGCTAGAAACTGCAAGTGTCTTCAGCAAAAACTTTAAAAATGAAGTCGCGAAATCGTCTCGAGTACTGCTTTGGATCCACAGCTGATATCGAAGTAGGGTCATACTGAATGGATTTATACGCATGCTCGAGTTTTTTGGTAATGTCGTAATCTTGAAGTATGTCGATGATACCGAAGAACATCACAACTTCGTAACACTCCCCCGTCCGTTCTCCGACAAGCTTTAGTTCGAGCTCTGGTTTCCTTATCGTTCTTTCGACTCTTGCCTGCATGTTGGTCTTGCCTGCATGTTGGTGCCTAGCTTGATGCTAGCCCAACTGCGATGTTCATGAGTTTCTATCAACACATGCCTTGAGTGCTAAGAAATACAAAAACAATAACTAAATTTGAAGATACTTCACCTCTTAGGGTCTTGAAGAAGTTGATCCATATCTGTTCTGGGAAGATGATGAGTTGCATCATTCTGTGAATTGCCTGAAAGGATGAATAGGGTTCGGAAGAATGCAATTTGTAATTAATGCTATGAAAATCTTAAGAAGAGATGAAAGATAACCGGATGAAGTACGTGTTTCACAAGGAATTAGCTCTCCGTTAGGTGATATTTCTCTAAAGTGAAGACCTACTAAAAGACTGTAGTCCATTGTTCTTTCTTGTTCAAGAAACTCACAATCCCTGTCGATTTGCCTGTGAAGAGAAACGTATATAAATATTGTATGTATAGTTTTCATGGTGGTTGTTAATCTAGTTTAAGAGAAATTGTATTTACCAACAAAACTCTTGAAACCATGATTTTTGTAGTTTGAATATGAAATTGAGATCAAGATCCTTAAGTATAGTAGTATTATCGAGCTCGGACTCTGGCTTATCTGTTATGCGTCCTAACGAAGACCCTTTCAAGTCGAATCGTCTATGGATCATGTAGTCGGAGCGTAAGAGGTTCCCCATGATGATGAATCGTACCTAGATCGTTCAGCATATCATTTGCTGCAACTTTTTGTGTATTTAATCATATTTTTTTACTGATGTTTTACTAACCTTTTTTTGAGCAGGGCCAGTGAGTTTTACGCTGTGCAAGCCGTAATATTTTATTACCAAGGTGTTCTCAAATGATCGACAATGGTTATAATATGCTGAAAGCATCCTTAAAAACACCTGTAAAACAAATCCATGAAGTTACCACTTTCGTTTCAGACTATAAACAGGTAGGAGGAAATTGAAACTCACTTTCGTTTCGGATTTCTTCATTGTTTTGATCATGTATCGATCATCATTTGTCAAATAGAAGAAGCTACCACTTTTACCAGGTGAGGATAGTTCCCTAAGTGCATCGTTCCCACAAATGGATATCATGTAATCTGCAGGGTCTACCTTGAACAATTTCCTCAAAGTCCTTTAACACAAAATTATAATGTGAAATTTACTTAGTGTTGAAATTGCAATCTAATCATGCATGAAACTACAGAAATATGTCTAACCTGAATACTACTGGACAATAATCCTTCCATCTAAATTCACAAGATTGATGTGGTGGAGTGTATTTACTTCCTTCTGGAGGAAACCTGGTCCAGATTTTCTCCTTGGGGTCAAATGCTGAAGCCTTGAGATCAAAACCTGTTGCTGGTGCTGGTCTTCCTACAGAATGCCTGATTCCCAGTTGCAAATTAAGCATAAGTTCATAGTTCCTGTGACCTTTGGATATTGTTTCCCCCTGTCTTTTGCCTAATTTGGGTACCTTCAAAGGCAATCCAAGGTTAAACTTTGGGTTTGTATCATCATACAACTCGTAATCCAAATCCCTTCTCACTTCTCTTAAACTATTGCCATCACCATCATTCTCCCATAAGCTGGTTTTATCTAATGGCCGCTCTACACCTACACTCGCCCTCCCGTCGACAGACAGTCTTCGCGGCCTGTCCACACCCTTTGTTGAATACCACATTACTAGTCTCTTTTGGGATGGCATGATCGAAACCCTTTCTCCGTGGCAGATTTTGCAACTCGCCAAGTCGTTATACACCGACGTTGGATCCCATTCAAGATCTGCAGCTGAAGAAGACTCGCAAGGGTAATATGTCCCATTCTGTTCATCTGGATCTTTACTCCAATTCCCTACATAAAAACTACCACCAGGCCATTGATAAGTCCCGTTTCCTTTTGGCAGGCCATCTTCCCAAAACCCATCATACTTGTTCCCATTGCTCCACACAAAAGTCCCCTTGCCGAAAATCACACCATTCTTCCACTCTCCTACGTAATAGTTCATGTTCTTCCATTGATATTTCCCATGGCCTTCTTGTAAACCGCGATGCCATTCTCCTTCGTATGCATCCCCATTCGAATAATGCATTAGGCCATGACCATGTTTCAAGTTCATCACCCATTGTCCCTTATAAGTATCCCCATTGGCTCCAATATATACACCGGTACCATCCATATATCCAGTCTTAAACTCCCCTTCATAACTAGCACCAGAGGGCCAGGTAAACCTTCCCCTCCCCATAGTTTTGCCTTTACGCCACTCTCCTATATAGATGCACCCATCTGTCCACAAATACTTCCCTTGTCCATCAGGGAAATTATCATGCCATTGCCCCGTATAATAATCCCCATTCGGAAGAATCTTTTCTGCAAAATACGGTTCATCTGATGCTTTAACACTTTTATCGTCTTCAACATCATTTTGAGCTACATTCGCCATGGATGTTATCCCGAAAATGCTATTCGCACGCTTCTTTGCTGCCTGTGTTTTGCGCATGGTGGCCTCCCATGCTTTCAGGACACTACTTTGCTCTTTGTTCATTTTCTGCAAACTCTTCTATCTTATTAACATGCAAGATCAAGGGATAACCTATAACCAACATGCATGAGATTTTGGACAAATCAAAATTGGTTGAAAAGTTGTAGGGGAACATTTTGTTGTGGGATCAAAAAGAGTCATATGGATGAACTATAACCAACATGCATGAGATTTTTGGACAAATGAAGTGATGAAGTGGCAATTTGATCTATGCATTGTTATATTTAAGTGAAGATACGTGTTGAAATGCCCGCATTAGTCTTTAGTTGACAACTTTTTCACTGTGAGTTTTTTTTCCCTAAAGAAGGTTAGGGACAGGAACATTAATCTCTCCTGCAGCGAGTCAAAGGGTGACTTATTCGTCTCCTAAAACATCTAAAGCCCTAACATTTGGAAGGGCACACGGAACTTGGATGTTTGTTTTACTATTCTAAAGTTGTAGTTCAACCAAAAGAAAAATGTTTAAATTTGCACATTTGACGTTGAAATAAACTTTTTTCAATGCCTTTATGTCTCAATAATTTTATCACATTTGATTTTTTTAGTTGTGTTTTTTATTTAAATTTTATTATGTTAAATATATTATTGATAACAAATTTAAAAATATATTTGAAAATCTAATGGAACAGTTTTAAATATATTAATTATAAAATTTAAAATAATTAAGATTAAAGTTTAAAGTTTTTGAAAGAAAAGAAAAGTCAATTATGACTTTTTCATTGGGATAGATTGTACAAAAATCAAGGGAAAATATACATCCTGATGCGTGAAACTATGAAATCTAGACATTCGTCTAATCGATTATATTGGATTGCATTACAATTTCATATATTTTACTATTTTTTGTGCCTTCTGCTTTTATTATTTAGTATTTCAAGACTGTTTTATTTAGATCGAAGGATAATAACATACGAGTTATCTATATTTTCATAATATTTAAATTGAAGTACAAATAACTATTTTATAATACGAATCTACTTATTATTAGCATTAAATGAAAATATTATTATCCAAATTAGATAATATTATTCGTATATATATATCTGCAATAGTAGAATGGATTTAAATATTCAAATATATTATTTGCTACAGCATAATGGATTTCCAAATATTATTTTCTATCTTTGTCAAAAAAAACTATTATTTTCTATATTTGATCCATCTTTGCTGTTGATGGTAATTAGATTGTGCGGATTCAAATATCTGAACTTTCAGTGAACTCTTTTAACTCCAGGAAATGCTGACCAATCTTTGGGGAACTAACAACCAACCGCTTAATGATACAATGACAGAACATTTCTTAAACCGAACATAGAATGTCTAGAAGTAAACAACCAACATTTGATCACATGAAACAGATAACTGTGCATAGAAAATAGAGGTTGCCATTACCTTTAGTAGACGTCAAAATCCTTACTCGAGCAAATCAGACACTGAAGTTCTTCGGAACACATCAACTTTAGCCAATTGTGCAGCTAAAGACTTGTTGGGGAAGATGTTATCTGCAACCATTCTCTCCCTGATTCCATAAGCTGGAGCTTTGGCATTTCTATATGCTTCGACTAGAGTTTGGAACTGTCGAAGTCGAGCAACGTATCCAGCCTGTCTCATTCTATGGAACATTTTTTCTGTATTATGGACATCACCCCTCTTAGCATACTGCTCCATCACAGCCATAAAAGAAGTATACATGGGCTTAGCTTCCTTCGACTGGCATGCCTTTTGCAGGATCGTGTCGGCCTTTTCCACTTCCCCTGCTTCCACATAAAGCTTCACGAGTGCATCCCAAGTCAATGGACCGATCTGGCACCCACTATCAGCCATTCGTTTAACAAGATCTTTCCCTTTTTGCAGCATCTTATGGTCTGAGTATACCTTCAACATCTTGGTATAATGCTTAGCGGGAAGCTTTTTTGATGTCTCTAACAGCCTGTCAAAAACTGCCTCTGATTTTTCAACTTGACCCAACTTTCCCCAAGCTTCAACGGCAGCCAGATACTCTTCAAAGCGGGGTTTTGATTCACAGACCTTCCAAATTCTTTCCACTTCATCAGCCTTTCCAAGTTCAGCATATAGAGGAAGTAAAAACTTGCAACCCCAACGATTCTGTTTTATGTCGTCCCCTTCCAACGCCTTCAAAACTTCCTCAGCTTTTTCCGTAAAGCCTGCTGAGGCATAGTGCTTAGCCAGGATGGATTGTGTAATGATGTCTGGTTCAAAACCTTCAGCCTTCATTGTCTCAACAATTTGATCCATCCCGGCTATGTCATTACATAAACCTTTCGCGTCAATTAAGATTCTATAAGTAAAGGGTGAAGGTTTGATATCTTCTTTCTCCATTAACAACAGCACATCAGCTATTTTTTTCTTGTCGTGCTTCTTATAGAGGAGTAACAGCTGGTTGCAAGCAAATGTTGTAATTGGGAATTCTAAGTCCCTCATTTTGTTAAAGACCGACTCTGCTTTCTTCAAATTGTTGGAAATAACACAGTTAGCCAACAGAGTTCTGTAGATTACCTCTCCTCTGAAAGATTTTGGGATAGTCTGAATGTAGTCTTCTGCCTTCTGGAGACCTTGTACTTTGGCAATCAAATCAACTCGAGAAGCATAATCTCTCCCAACAAAATCAAGCTGCTTCTTCATCTCCAACCACTCAAAGAGCTGCAAACAGAAAGGAAAGAACAAAATGCAATCAAGTAAAACCTACAACTTCCAAAACCAAAACCTTACACAATAGAATATTATTTCAACTTAGGCATTTAAAAATTTCTTTAGTGACACCTATATGCAGATAAACGGAATTGCCTAAATCATATTTAGTTTTACCCTCTACCACTTGCAAAAAATACAAGCTTAGTGTTTACAATTTATTTAACATTTCTTTATAAAATCTTAGTCAACTATTTTTTAAACAGAAAAAATTACCTGAATCCTAAAATCATATTGAATAGACACCTATATGCAGATAAGGTAATTTCGTACACAACAAAGTGACCTTAGTTTAATGAAAAATATACGCGAAAAAGATACAATGATAAGTCAAATCACCTGCAACGCCCTCCCATACATTCGGCGCTTGCGAAGATTGAAATTTGCTGCTGAAACCTCATCTCTGCTAATACTTTTTCCTTCCTCAACCCACTTATCAAGAACCTTAAAAATCGAAATACCTGTAGTAGAGATAATAGCTTTGAATAGTTCTGAGGTAGTTCTCCTTGAAGATGCCTTCTTATCATGGACATCCGTTACAGCCTCAAACAATTCCAGTTCATTTGAAGTAGTTTCTTCAACATCACCAGATAACTCTTCATCAGAATCCAATCCATCTTCAGTTTCATCCTTAAAATTATGATCTCCTTTGGTCTCGGCATTAGCAGGTGTTTCAAGTTCAGAAAAACCATCTTCCAAGTCATCTTCCTCTCCACTGCTTTCAGCACCAGCTTGGGAAGAAAGACCACAACTACGAATAGGGAAATCAGAGGAAGCATGTTTTGAGAGGTAAAATCTCAATAATGATAGACCTTTATCAGATATTGTTTGACAAGAACCCAAAGTAGTAGCAGTTTCTTCAATGAAGTGCCTTGAAGTTTGTAATTGAGCAGAAGCATCATAAGAAGCTCCAATGCTGATCCTTGTATCCCTGGAAACCAGGCAAAATAGTTCATGAGTCTGCAATCTTCAAAGAAAAAAAATCATGAAAAATGAACCTTATTTTCTAACTCAAAAGCTTAATGTCAAATTAAAAAATAGGGTGACAGAGAAAGAGAATGGAGACTGATGACACCCTTGCTTTCCCAACCCTTCTAACCCTTCCAAAAAACAGCTTTCTCCTTTTTACATTCTAAACCCAAATTGTTTTCCCTGTTTTTCTCAGTAATCCCATTATTGTTCCATGAAAAAGGATTTGTTTTTTACCGAAAAATCAGCCAAACAGAGGTAATGGAGGAAGAAGGTGCTATATCGGACCATCTCTGGTGCAATTAAACTGACGGGAGACAATGGAGGTGCAAACGAGTAATGGAAGGGAAAAAGTTGTGCAAGCTTCACCATATCCAAGGACGTCAACAGAAAAAAAAACAGAAAATCCCCAAATCCATGAATATGCAAAGGAAGAAGAGGAAAAAGAAGCCTTTGAGAAGAACAAGCTGGAAATTAGGGAAAAGTTGCTGAAATTAGCTACATCGACAGTGTGGCCTAAAAGAGATGTTGAGAGATTTTGGGAGTAAAGTCGTGTTTTATCTAAATTGCAGGATTCAAATTAAAACTCAACTCTTTTTCAATTTCAGTGATCAAATTTTGAACAAAACTGAAACAAAAGTTATCAAATTTGTAACTTACCCATAAAAATTTAAACAAAATACACTCTACTCATCCAAATGATATCAAGCAATTTTCAGCGGACTTTTATAACACATGAAAGTAATCGTTTTCATGTCAATCTCTAGCACAGGCTATTTAGTTATGCAATAAATGGTCAGGGAACTAAGGGCAGGGCTAATTAGTTTTACAAGTTCATTAATTTTTACCAAATAAAACAGATATATACATACATATGAAACAACCCAATACTATTTTCCTTCCCTCATTTTACTCCTTGCAGGTTTTCTCGGTAAACAAACACTAAGATGGAAAAGAGAAAAGGGAAAAAAAAGTGAAATGCAGAAAACATGTGTACAAAGTAGAAAGAGAAAGAAAAGGAGAGAGTACACGTACTTGAGCGGCTTAGGAAGTCGGCGTAGCGCCCACATGGTGAAGATGCGACGTGAAAAATGGCGAAAACCCAGACACTGTTTCAGTTTTAGAAACCCCAAAATCCTTCGGCAACCACTACCAGAGCCTTAAACCCTAAAAACCCAAGGCCTGAATGAATTACTATAAAATGGAGTAACATTTATAGTGTTGATGAGTTGTCTGTTTTCCGTATATGAAAATGGGGTAAAATACATCAGGATCACTCCACTATGGTAAATTTCTTTTTCAGTCACAACATTTCTTTTTTTGAAGGGTGTAAATTAGGGATGGGGATGGGCATGGGCGGGCGGGCGGGCCCTTTTTTTTGTTACCCTGAACCCGACCCAAAAACATATTTCCTTATACGTAGTCCTACCTCGCCTTGATAAATTTTAGTTTTTTCCCGCCTCTATCCGTCTTGATTTTTTAACTAAAACTTTGATCCCGACCCAATTTAAATATATTAATATTTTAAAATAATTAAATAATTTTTTATAATTATTTATTATATTTTAAATGATTAAAACAATATATTTTATAATAATTTATATATTTTTAATAATTAAAGAATATATTTTAATAATATAAAATTAAAATTCTTAAAATATTAAATATATTATATATATAAAAAAAGTATAAATTAACTAGGTCCGATTGGGTCGGGTCAATGATTTTTCACCTTAAATTTGACCCGACCTCAAACCTTAAAATATATATTTATGTTTGCAAATATTCATATTTGATTCGTGTTAGTTTAAATTTTCATTATCGTTGGTCGTATATTGACTTTTTGAATATGTTTGTGTTCATATATTTAGTGTTCGTGGATATGTTCGTTTAATATTCATTTAATATTTTCGGCAATCGAGACTCTCTTTTTACCCTTTTATTTGCAAGGCGAAAAATGGTGAAATGGCAAAATTAGTTCTCAATTTCTTTAAACTTCATAATTTGAACTCTAAAATACACTTTATATTCAGTTTAGTCACTATTTTCACATATTTATATTCAATTTAGTCACTATTTTCACCAATATCTTTCAACATGTTTATGTTCGATTTAGTCACTATTTTCACCAATTTAGGCTTCATGGATGACTAAAACTGGATGTGACATTTTCCCTTCATTCTAAAGGCATTGAGAAAGGCAAAAAGGAAAGGTGTAATGTTGATGTTGTATGATTCTTAATGTATCTGAATCAATTGGATAGTATATGATTTAGTAATTTTGTTGATTGTCTAGACCATGCTCTATTCCTATACTGTAAATGTATATCTATAATTTTGGAATTTAGTTATTTGCAATTACAAATATTTATTTCTTTGATATAACTACATGAACCCAAGGCTTTTAGGGAAATAACATTCCTTTTTACCACCTATATCATTTGATAAATTCTACAACAGATAATTTAAAATTTAATTAGACTAATAAATTAAATAATTGAGATCAAAGTAATCAAATAATCATTTTTAATTATTTTGGACTTGAAACAATTAATAATTAACTAAATTATATATATATATATATATATTCTAAAAGTAAAAAAATGTGATGATCTTAGTTAAACTGAAATTATATTATATAGAATGTTTAATTATAAAAAAATAATTTTAATTAATGAATTTAATTATATTATTAAAAGTGGGTTTTCAGTTAAAGTGTTTTGGACCTGGTATCTTGAATTAATTCAAGAAATAGAAAGCACCCTAACAAGGGAGGCCCTATACAACCAAGGGTAGTCGGCCCAGTGGGGCATGTATAAGAAAACGAGTTAAACTTGTGTCAATAGAATTGTAAGAAGAGGAAGATCATATGGACAGTCTCTCGTTACTTTATATTCATCGGTATATCCATGTATGGGAAGAGACTTAGAAATTTTAAATTATTATATATTTTAAAAAATTATGTTTTTTATTAATAATTTATTTTTAATTTTTGAAATCATTATTTATTTTTTTAATAATTTATCCTTAACATAAAACAATATGCCTGTATATAAGTGTATAGGTTATAACTTATATAAAAAGTTCATTTTCCTCTACATTATTTCGAACTTGTGTGTTTTTAAGAACATGGTTAGAACATAGTTGCAGTTGTATGAAACAGAATCAAAAGGTAAGCAGAAAACGAAAAGAGAAAAAAAGAAACAAAGTTCACAGGCCACTAGATCCAATCAACTTGGTTAAGCCAAAGGTTATAGCCATAGCCACCCACCCTCCAACCAGCACCCTAACCGCAGACTTCACAGTTGCTGCCTTCCCCAACACAGCACCCAACCATCCGAACACCAACAAAGCCAAACTCACCGCAGCAACCACCACACCAACCCTCACCTTATACTCCGTTATAAAAGATGCAGACAGCAATGGCACCATTGCTCCCACTGAAAACGAAAGTGCTGAGGCTGCTGCTGCTTGTAAAGGGTTTGGTAAACTCTCCTTTTCACCTTCTGTTTCTCTAGGCTCACCTCTTCGGGTTTCTCTTTTGATTTGAGCCAACTCGATGTCTAACTGCGAGTAAACCGAAACGAACTCGCCTATGGCCATGCTGCATGCCCCTGCTACCAGACCTGCAAAACCAGTGAGTATCATGACCTTAATGTCTTGTTTCACTGCACCAACACCCATCATCAGTGATGCAGTGGAGACGAGTCCATCGTTGGCGCCTAGCACCGCTGCTCGAAGCCATTGAGATCGTTTTGAGTAGTTAAAATCATTGTTTGCTTCAGGTTCCACGTCTGTTTGTCGCTCAGCATCATTCACAGCTGGGATTGTCAACTTCTGGTTGTTGAAAGATGATGCTCCGTTGGTGGTCTCCATGAGAAAGGAATGGAAATAGAAATAGTTTGCTAGAAACGAAGGAGATTATAGGGAAGATGGAGAAGTGTGAAGGACACACGCCCCTCTACAAGGCTATTTATTGAGGGAGACGTTCACTGTGTAGAGGCAAATGTGGGGTATAAAGCACTCATGGTGCTTAGCCAAAATAAATAAATAAATAGCATAGGTGAAGGTAATTTTTCATGATAATTATAGACCTCCTATTGTCGCAACCGTCTTTCGAGTGGGTTCGGAATTGGGCTTCGACTTAAATAAAACACGTTAGAGCCGCCACCGATCATTTTTTTTTTCAAAAAATAATTTGACCGGATACCTTAATTTACCATCTTACATGATCTGCGTTTTACCAGAAATATGTTAGATTTGGGAGTCGGTTACAGTCAAGCAAAGATTAACACCCTTGAACTGCCCTTTCGGTACCATTTTAATTTATCGGTTGTCTTAATTGCAAAAAATAAAATTAAAAATAAAATTTAAAGATTCGATTCGAATCGAATTACTTACCTCCGATCGATAAAAATTGCCTATATTAAAAAAATATCAAAATTGAAGTTAACTAAAAACATTAGGGTTAGAATAAAATAAATATAAATTAAATTAAATTAAATTAAAAAAGAAATAAAATAATATTCAAATTAAAAGGGTTAAACTACAAAGAATTTATGATTAAGGACCAAATTGATATTATTTGAAAACTGCAAGAAATAATATAGAGTTAGGAGGGCTTAATTTGTAAAATACAATAATTCTAAACAGAGATTTAATTGAAACAATTCGAAATTTAAGGGCAAAATTACAACAGGTGACCAAAATGAATTACACGTCGAAAGTGCAAGGATTGTGGAAATAATTTAAATTTTTCATAATTACACTTGGGTCCCCCTATAAATAGCCTCTAAAACCTAAAAATCACCATTTCAATTCATTTCTTCAAAATATCATCTCTCCCCACCTCTAAACACTCTCAACCTAAGCCTTTCCAACCAATGGTCGGCCCGACTCCGACGAGGCTCTCCACCGCACCGATCGTCACCGACCGCCGCTCCGGTCACCACCATCTGTGGCCGGAAAAACCAAATTCACCCAAAAAATTTCCCTAGTCCCCGTAAGCTCAAAACCGAGGCAAAAAACCCCTAAACCTACCCCTACCGACGTAGATCTAAGTGCAAAGTTTGAGCCTTTTACCTTTTCGACGGTGGTTCTTCGTTTTTTGACGATTTGACGATACCAGGCCTTCGACTTTGAGTGTTGCCTCTGGTTTCTTAGTATTTGGTTGCTTTGTGGTTGTGATTGGTGATGTTTTGCTTCTCCTTTTTTCGTTGTCATCGATGCTTTATTTTACAGGGTATTTATAGGCCCCTATCAGGACCGTTTCCGATTGCTTCAGGGTTACTCTTAGCTGTTTTAGGGTTGTTTGCCCCTATTTTTCAATTTGTTTGGGGTTGAGGGTTATTGCTTGACCTGCTAAACAGGATGGGTCAATCCCGATTTAGCCCGGATTCATCGGCATTGGTTGCTTTGTGACTGATTTTCGGTCGGAAATCTCCGCCTGGTCGTTTGGTATTCCCTGGGTGCTTTTGTAATCGTTAGATCAGGTGGCCAGATCCAACGATCCTCGTTCTACAACGCCTTTGCTGAACTTGCAACCCTAATGTGTTTCGTATTTAGTTCTGAGCTGGGTTTAATGGCCTGCTGGGGTCAGGCGGGTCAGGATCTGGACCCTGATTGGGCTCCTTACTGGGTTATTTGGACTTATTAAACCCTAAAAAAATAACAAAAAATAACAAAATGAATAAACAAATAATAAAAATGAAATAAATAAAATGAAAATAAAAATTATAAAAATAATATTATATATTTTCGAAAAAAATGTTTTCAAAATTATATATTATATATATTTTCAAAATGTTTTCAAAACTATACATCATATATGTTTTTAAAAATATTTTCAAAACTATATATTATATATATATTTTCAAAAATGCTTTCAAAACTATATATTATATATGTTTTCAAAAATATTTTCAAAACTATATATTATATATTTTCTAAAAATGTTTTCAAAACTATATATTATATATTTTCTAAAAATGTTTTTAAAACTATATATTATTATATATTTTCTAAAAATGTTTTCAAAATAATATATTATATAGATATTATGTATGTAACATCCCAATTTATGGGTTAGTGACTAAATTGTAAAATTTCAGAACTTGGTGACTAAAGTAGAAGAATTGAATAGTTCAATGATTCATTTATAAATAGTACCTGAAAGAGGTAAGTAATTATTAGATGAAGTGAAGGGCAAAAGGGTCTTTTGTAAGGGAAATAGTTAAATTAAAGAAATGTTATATAGTAACCACGTGGAAGGGAAGAGAAATCTACAAGCTTCCAGAGTTCTCTTTCTCTTCTTCTTTCTTTATGCGTGGGAACCCAAAACAAAGGTGAGTTTCTGGTTAGTTAGTTTCTTGTTAAATTTAAGATTGGTTTATGATTATTAGATGATAACTAAGCTTAAGGAAAGCTTAAGTTATCTTAAAATCAAAAGATGATGGAATAAGAAGAGATTAAAGATTGTGAGTTTTTGAATGAAATCTTGGAATAAAGTTCATATCTAGAATTGGAAGTTAAATTTGACTTGTTATCAATCTGGTTAAGACAAACAAAGTGTTAAAAGTGGAATTTAATCATGTTGCAAAGTTGGTATAATTCTTGAATTTCATGAGGAAGATAGGATTTTGAGGTTTAAGATGAAATAAATGAGTATATATTGGTTTAAGTATGTGTATTGGAGTTAAGAATATAAAAGGGGATGAAAGATAAAGGATTTAAGCCAAAATGGATAAGTTTTCGGGTTCAAGAAGTGAATTCTGGGCAGAGTGTATCGATACACATTCATTGTGTACCGATGCATCATGAGTAAATCCCATAAATTGTTCAAGGTGTATCGATGCACATGAAGTGTATCGATGCACATGAAGTGTATCGATGCACTCCTTTAAAATAAAAACATCGAATGCCATCAATGTAGCTATGCACAAGTAGTGCATCAATGCACCCCCTTAAATACAAACATCGAATGGAATTTATGCACCGATGCATAGATAGTGCATCAATGCACCCGTCAAGGGAGGCATCGATACATGGTGTAGTGCATCGATACATACCTTCATTAAGAGATGAAATTAGCCTTTCTTTTAGCCTAAGAAGTGATAGTTTAGAATATATCAATTAATATACTGATAAGTATCAATGTATTACTATGTAGATATAGAATGAAAGCTTGTTCCGAAACAATTGAAGGATTAGGATTGATTCAAAGCAAAGAAGGCTAAGGTGAGTGCATATGATTATATGGAAATTAGACTTGCGATGAGTCTATTTCCATGTTCTGATTTTATGAATGCATAAAAATAAGTATAGTTGGTAGTCGTTAGTATGTGAATATGTATTGTTATGTTCTTTTCTATGTGATATAATTTATGTGATGATATGATCATAAACTATATAAATAATAATGACTTATGTAATGAACAAGAGAAAGTGATATAAGCTATGTGGTATAGATATAAATGATTATAAGAACATGTAATATAAGTGATATGTAATGTATATATGAGCTACATGATCCTATGAGAATATGAAAAGAGATATGTGAACATGTGAATTATATGAAAAGTGATATGAATTACATGAAAAGAAGCTATGAGCTTATATGAACATGCGATATGAAAATGTATATGTGAAATGATATAAGTGAAAATGCCCATGTTATGTGTATTGAGAGCTAAAGGTATAGTTGGCATGCCAAGAGTCGAGGGTCTATGCGGTCCTTCGGGACATAGTGGTCCTTTGGGACATAGTGGTCCTTCGGGACATATGTGTTATATGTAGTCCTTTGGGATATCTATGTGGTCTTTCGGGACAAATTCTACGCGCCCCTAGTGGAAATTATACGAGCTGTGGTGACAACATAGTGCACAACCTCAATAGATTCACATATCTACAGTTCTCACATGTGTACATGGGCTAATAAGAGATGATATTGAATATAATGTTTGTGATATATATGTTTTGGGATATGAATTATATGATAGAATATCTGTGTGTTAGTGATTATTGCATATGTTATAAGATATATGATATGAACACAATAAATCATATGAACAAGAGAATAAAAATATGAATGATAATAAAATGATAATGATAGGAATGAAGACAATTATATACATGTATGGATTTGATGGATGAACATATATATGTTTGGGTATGCTATGGTAGCAGTAATTGTTCATGTATGATTACAAGTTATAGTTTACATTATATGTTTATTTGCCTCACTAAGTCATAGACTTAGCGTGTAAGTAATTTACACGTAGGTTTCGAGAAGAGTAAAGGGCAATGTGGAGCAAGACAGGTCAGTTCTCCTTACCGAACGTCAGATCAGAAAAGAGGTGAATAATATGTATTTTTGTATATAAAGTTCCAGTTGGCATGTATTCAAAAGAGTATATTGTATAAGCTCTTAATAGTTTTGTAAACGTTTTGAATAAGTTATATGTAGATGAATAAGGGAATTATGCATGCTTTGATCGGTTTTTTTTGCAATAATGTAAATGTATTTTATGTAAGTTAGTCATCTATATGTTATAAAAGTTTTAAATTACTCATTATTTTATACAAGTAAATGTTTTGAAAAGTCAGTGTGACACCTCAGACTCGTATTCAGGTCAGATACGAGTTGGGGGTGTTACAATGTATATATTAAATAGAATCCCAGACGAAAATGAGTGACTATAGTTGCTTCTCTTTGCCCATTATCGTGCAACAAAAATAGGGAAAAGACAAAAAGACAAATTTTCGTTCGTTGCATATGGGCTTGGAAATAAGCATGTTCCTGTGAGAGTTGTTGACTTATGAGCTTGAAATCCAACTTAAGGTTTCCGTTTAATTTTTATCCACTACTCTCCCCTGTGAAGTTGAGATTCGAAGAAGAGGACGAATCCCTGTTGTTGAGCCATACTAT